CGAAAAGAGATACTAATGTGGGTATAAACCGATTCAAATAATACCTTGCTAGTATTAAGGGAATGTTGCCATTTGGAAAAATGTCCCGAGGCTACCAAATAGGAGATTAAGCAATGTGTAAATTCGGTAAAACATGAAAATGAGCAAAATCATTGTCATTTGAATAAGTCTTCTTCTAGTTATTTTAAAAGTGGGGATTCGGGTTGGAAATATGGTTGTAACCCAATTCTAAATAAAAAAACATATATTAGGTGTAGTTTTTGTGAAAAAATATATCCATTGGGGTATTAACTGATTCAATAAATACCTTATCAATATTAAAAAGAATGTTGTTTTGGGCAAAAAGGTCCCTGAAGATATTACAAATGAGATTAGACAATATTTGAATTTGGTAAAACCAGAAAGATGAATGAAATGAACATAGTTATATGGAAACATATTCATTGAGTTATTATAGAAGTCATGATCCAGGTTGAAAGTATAGTCATAGCCCGAATCCTAATGATAATATCATATAAGATATTATTGTGGAAATGGTACTAGTGGGGTATTTACTGGTTTAAGAAACACCTTGCTGGCACTAAGGGGGATGTTGTCAATTGTAAAAAAATTCACAAAGCTACCAAGGAGGAGATTAAATAATGTTGAAGTTTTGTAAAACACAAAAATCAATAAATGATGAACATGCACTAGCTAGAGCAACCAATACTCTTAGGGGCACATCTGTACAGAGGGGGGTGGAGTAGAATAAGATAAGGAAAAAGGCAAGTATAGAAAAAAATTAAGGACGAACGTTATGTTGAAGAGGGAGATGACTCATGATGGTCTCGGTTCCGATGCATATGATGAGGCTTTAACCCTTTTTTTTTTTTTTTTGATGATGATTGAAGACTCTGGACTCTTGAGTCTTACACTAAACAATTTTTTTTTTTCTTATTTTCTAGTTTATATTAGTCTATATACACTTGTATAGTTGTAATATTGTGTAATTGTATGGAACTATGAGTTATAGAATGGTATAAATAATGGAGCACGAAGTATGATCTATGGAGTATGAATTATGAATTGTGCATATATTACTAATTACTAGAAAACAATTATATATTTATTTTTGGTTGTGCTAGTAGTCTATGTATTATAAATTACAATAGTTTTGAAACTTAGATTATGGGATTTTTAACATTTCAAGATATATACTCATATTTCTTTGCCCCTTGTTTATTTTTTTCATTCCAAGGAGCTGGGTGGCTAGGACTCCCATGACTTATGGAACACTAGTAAGAAGGGAGGAAGAGTGTGTTGTGAATGTTGACTAGGAGAAAGGAGAATAATGGATGGAATATTGGCAGGTTTTATAAACTTTTGAGGTTAATGGGAGCATTGCTCCCATGGACCATTTTATATGCTTATTCCATCAAGTTAAATACAATATAGTTCAGATAATTATTATTTTATGATAATTATTATTTCATGTATTTTTAGCTAGAATAAATGTTCTTTTATTTCTCAAGCGGATAACAAGCCATACAAGATATTTAGATTGAAACGGAACTCTTAGAACATTTACCTCACAAAGTAGGCAAGTTGTATCAATCCAACCAAATCACAATACACACCAACCTCTCCAAGATTTATTAAAAAAAGAAAAAAAAGAAAGAGAAGAAGAAGCAAAATCTCAATTATTTTCATATAAAATATGATTAAAATATAATTAGTTAGATATAGCTAAAGTCGATAAATAAAAAGATGGCAATATTATATAATACTAGTAGATTCACACACGGAAATTTAAGAAGAAATATAACAAACAATAAAAAAATTAAAAAACAAAGTTTCACAAACAAATGAAATTGAATATAATTATTATCATTATAAATTGTTTAATTCTCATATGCAATTCGATCAAAATTTTAAATTACAAAAGATTTTTAAAACTACTTTGCTATTTTAGCAGGTAGCAACAAAGATAGCATGTATGGTTTAAGAAATTTATGATTATTAATTTCAAATCGTGTAAATACAGTTGTCAAGTGCTATTTTTAACCACCATATTAGTTTACAAAACAATTAATTAATGCAAATGTTAATTACAACATATTTTACAATCTTTTTCAAGACCACCGCTTCGAATAGATCCGGATCCCTAATCCAACACATATATGTGGAATGGACAATCCATATTTTCCAACTACATGTTTAACTTAAAATAATACTC